ATATTCTACCTCTCACATACATATATTCTACCTCTCACATACATATATTCCACCTCTCACATACATATATTCTTCCTCTCACATATTATATTCTACCTCTCACATACATATATTCTACCTCTCACATACATATATTCCACCTCTCACATACATATGTTCTACCTCTCACATACATATGTTCTACCTCTCACATACATATATTCTACCTCTCACATACATATATTCTACCTCTCACATACATATGTTCTACCTCTCACATACATATATATTCTACCTCTCACATACATATATTCTACCCCTCACATACATATATTCTACCCCTCACATACAAATATTCTACCCCTCACATACAAATATTCTACCCCTCACATATATATTCTACCTCTCACATACATATGTTCTACCTCTCAAATACATATATATTCTACCTCTCACATACATATATTCTACCTCTCACATACATATGTTCTACCTCTCACATACATATATATCTACCTCTCACATACATATATTCTTCCCCTCACATACATATATTCTACCTCACATACAAATATATTCTACTTCTCACATACATATATTCTACCTCTCACATACATATATATTCTACCTCTCACATACATATATTCTTCCCCTCGCATACATATATTCTACCTCTCACATACATATATATTCTACCTCTCACATACATATATTCTACCCCTCACATACATATATATTCTACCTCTCACATACATATATTCTACCCCTCACATACATATATTCTACCTCTCACATACATATATATTCTACCTCTCACATACATATGTTCTACCTCTCACATACATATATATTCTACCTCTCACATGCATATATTCTACCCCTCATATACAAATATTCTACCCCTCACATACATATATATTCTACCTCTCACATACATATATATTCTACCTCTCACATACATATGTTCTACCTCTCACAAACATATGTTCTACCTCTCACATACATATATATTCTACCTCTCACATACATATATTCTACCTCTCACATACATATATTCCACCTCTCACATACAAATATTCTACCCCTCACATATATATATATTCTACCTCTCAGATACATATGTTCTACCTCTCAAATACATATATTCTACCCCTCACATATATATATATATTCTACCTCTCACATACACATGTTCTACCTCTCACATACATATTCTACCCCTCACATATATATATTCTACCTCTCACATACATATATTCTACCCCTCACATATATATATTCTACCTCTCACATACATATGTTCTACCTCTCACATACATATGATCTACCTCTCAAATACATATGTATTCTACCTCTCACATACATATATTCTACCTCTCACATACATATGTTCTACCTCTCACATACATATGATCT